ATTATAGTAAATACTCAAGAAAACAGACAGGAGAGCCTAGGGCCAGAAGCTCAAATCGACAGAGAAATGGAGGTAGAGTCTACTCCAGCTACACCTACCTAAAACAAACAAACACCTAGCGTGTTTAAAATACTAATACTAGCACTAAATAAACGATACGCTAACTTCTTACCAGAGAACACCTACAGAGGCAGAAACTCATACCAAAGCACCTCTAGCCCAAAACCAGTTGCCAAGAACTCCGAGCAGGCAATCTACTAGGCGAGAGACCTTATTCTTTAGGCCTCTACAATGGAAGAATCCCACGTAGCCCAAAATAAGCTACTAGAGCTACTAGACGTCTTTAGAGACTATACTAAAACGGGTAGAGTAGCAAACCAAATTATAGAAAAGCTGTCTACTAAGCTAGCCTACTATTCAGCGACGCTCGCAAACGCCTCTCAGCAAGCAACAAAGACGCTTAAATAAGCTACGATTGCAGCATCAAACAAGGCACAACTAGCAGCCCGACCAGCCTAAAAACCAGCCCAAACCTCCTACGCCGCAATAGCAGCAAACAACTCAAACCAGACCTAGACAACAGTCCAGCCAAGAAAGAAACTAGCATAACTAGCCAAGAAACCAGCATCTTATTACTAGACGCTAGTTACACTAGAAGAGGGCCAAATAATTCGCCCTCTACTAGTTAGAAATAGAATTAACCAAGCCTTCAAGAAGGTAGGCATTGCCGGCCCAGTCATCTAGCAAGTAACTACTAGCAGAAGAAATAATCTTATCCTTACAACTACAGAAGGATACTCAGGGGAATTCCTACTAAAGCAAGTTAACACTTGGCAAAACCAGCTACTAATTAAGAAAGCTCAGCCTCTAGAGTCCTAGACTAAACTTATTATACACGGGGTGCCAACAACATTTGACGGAGCTGAAAGACTCCAGCTACTCTACACAGAGATCCCAACGTATAATAAGAACTAAATCATTGTTAGGAACCCCTACTAGCTATCTAGAAGCTGGAAAGAAAAGCAAACAAGCTCTGTTATTATTGCTTTCAAATCCGAAGAAGAAGCGAAGAAGATTGGCAGCAGAATAACAATCCTTAGCTAATCCCTTCGGGCTAAGAAATACCGCCAAATCCCACTAACTGCGCAGTGCAGCAAGTGCCAAGAATTTGGACACAACTTTAGCAGGTGTAGGAACCTAGCTAGCTGCTAATTCTGTGCTAAAAACCACCTAACTACTTAGCATAACTGCAGTATTTGCAAAACAAGAGGGAAGGCATGTAACCACACACTCCTAAAATGCAAAAACTGCAAACAACCCTATTTTACAATTAGCAAAGACTATAAGGTTCTTCTATCCATTAAATAATAGTAGAAAACCTTAAAGTACTACAAATAAACCTAAACAAAAACCTACGTACTACAGAATCAACGCTACAACTAGCAATAGAGCTTAAAGTTGATATTATCGCAATCCCAGAACCGTAGATTGCCCCTTCGAATAGCAGTAACTACGAAGCCCCAAGGTCAATAGCCCACCAAAGCTTCTACCAAAT